GACTCGGGCGTGCAGGTCTTCCATGCCGGCACTGCCTTAAAGGATGGAGGTGTGGTCTCCAGCGGAGGGCGGGTCCTGACTGTCACTGCCGTCAGCTCGTCTCTGGAGGCGGCCCTGCAAGCGGCCAATCAGGGAGTGGCAGCCGTTGGCTTCCCGGGCGCCGTTTACCGCCGAGACATCGGGCACCGAGCCATCGCTCACCTGAACCAACACAGGTGTGTGTGAGAGTAACACGGTGTGAAACACGACCACATTCCCCTTCTGTTCTTTTGTTTTCATGTGTTAACTTTGTAAATAAAAGAAGTGAACTTTGATGTTCCTGCGTCTTTGTTTTTATTTAAAGAATGAAACATTGAGTCATGTTAAAGTGTCTTCAGTGAGACTGCAGACCGGCCTGATATCACTCTGTGTCTCTGACAGAGGTCTCACCTATAAGGACAGCGGGGTGGACATCGCCGCCGGCAACAAGCTGGTGGACATGATCAAGCCTCTGGCCAAGGCGACTTCTCGAGCCGGTAATGAAGTGTGATCAAAAAGAAATGTGTAGAGTTTGATTAAATAAGCAGGATGTGTGTGATTTATCAGAAAGACTTGACCTTCTCATTCAGAAAGAAATCCTCTATTTTTAAGAAATGCCTTCAAATCTCTTACTGTGAGTGTTTGTGATGCAGCTGCTACGTTTCTCTGAATCCATACAGGAGTAGGTAAAGCCTGAAAACATGGTGATGTGTTGTTGTGTCATCAGGGTGTAATGCAGAGCTTGGAGGCTTTGCTGGACTCTTTGACCTGAAGGCAGCCGGTTTTGTGGACCCGATCCTCGTGTCAGGGACGGACGGAGTCGGAACCAAGCTGAAGGTGCTAAACTGATTCTGCATCCTGGTTTTTATGTTGGTGAGGTGAGCCTAATGGCCAATAAGGAGACAGACTCATGTGGCTTTAACTGGATTCATTCATCCTCAGATCGCCCAGGCGTGTGGTCAGCATGGAGGTCTAGGTCAGGACCTGGTGGCGATGTGTGTGAACGACGTGCTGGCTCAGGGCGCCGAGCCGCTCTTCTTCCTCGACTACTTCTCCTGCGGACGACTAGAAGTGGACGTGGCCGCCTCGGTGGTCGGGGGCATCGCAAAGGCCTGTGAGATGGCCGGCTGTGCTCTGCTGGGTGAGAGAGAGAGAGAGAGAGAGTGTTTAAGGAGGATTCAGGTGGACTTGTTGTTATCTCACACGTCTTGTGTTTGTGTGTGCAGGCGGTGAGACAGCAGAGATGCCGGGCGTCTACGCTGCAGGAGAGTATGACCTGGCGGGGTTCTGCGTTGGAGCGGTGGAGCGGGGCTCCCTGTTGCCCCGGCTGGGGGACATCACAGAGGGGGACGTGCTGATTGGTGTGGCCTCCTCTGGGGTCCACAGCAACGGCTTCAGTCTGGTGCGTAAAGTCCTGGAGAGAGCCGGCCTCAGCTACAGCTCCCCTGCTCCTTTTGGGAAGCCGGGGCAGAGTGTGGGTGAGTGAAGCTTTTTGAACGTACTCTTCTTAAAGAACAGCCAGCTGTGTGTCATATATGGAAGTGAAGTGTTACCCTAGAAAAGCTTTTCAGAGACTTCTGGATTAATCAGGAAGATTGTCAGCTCATGTAAATAATGTATACTCTACTATATGTTGGCCTGACTGTAACCTTTGACCTCTGCTCCCAGGTGAGGTTTTGCTGACACCGACAAACATCTACAGTCGTCTGCTGTTGCCCATCCTCCGCAGCGGAGGCGTCAAAGCGTACGCCCACATCACAGGGGGAGGACTGCTGGAGAACATCCCTCGGGTGCTGCCGCCGGAGCTGGCTGTCGATTTAGGTGAGATGAAAGAGCGTCGGTGTTCAGAGGCAGCAGAAGCAGATTTAATGGAAGCTGGTTTTCCTCTTCATGATGCTGGATCTGCACACTTTTTAGTTTTGATGAAGTTAGTCTTCATACTGTGTGTTTGTGTATGATTCAGATGCGTCTCGATGGAGCGTCCCTGCTGTGTTTTCGTGGCTCCATAAGGAGGGCGGTCTGAGCGAGGAGGAGATGGCTCGCACCTTCAACTGCGGCCTGGGAGCGGTGCTGGTTGTGTCTGCTCTGGATGCGCAGAAGGTGTTAGGTCAGATTCAAGCACAGGAAGAGGCGTGGATCGTGGGTTCACTGGCACAGAAGCAGCCCGGTGAGAGTTTGAAAACACTAAATAGTGAAATGCAACAGATGGACAATTATCCCAGAAGACAATATTCATAATCACATTGTTTGTTTGTGCAGGGGCAGAAGCTGTGGTGGTCCGCAACCTGAGGCACAGCCTGCTGACTGCAGGACCAGCGTGCATCAGTGAGGCGGTTGTTGAGCAGAATGGTGGTTGTCGTGGCGACAGCAGCAAGCCACAAAAGAGGACCAGAGTGGGAGTTCTTATCTCTGGCAGTGGTGTGTTTTCAGTAGCTTTGAGAAGTTACATTGAAATAGTTTCCAGTGTTTACTAAAATGTTAAAGAAGTCTCTTTAAGAGTGCATCGTTAGTTTGTCTCAGGGCTTTTTTATTTTTTCTGTACCTCCAGGCACCAACCTGCAGGCGCTGATAGAGCAGGCCAGACGTCCGTCCAGCTCTGCAGAGATCGTGGTGGTCATCTCTAACCGACCTGGAGTGCAGGGCCTGAAGAGAGCATCACTGGCCGGCATTCAGACTCGAGTAAAATACAATGAATGAATATTAATGATGGATGGTATTTTCAAAAAGTCTTTAAATTGAGTGTTTTTTCATGAAAGTTGAGAGATATGTTTTTGAGATGCAAGCTGTCGAGTGGTTTTTGGTCCTAAAGTGTTAAAAGAACATGACAGTCCTTTAGTTTCATATAAGAAAGTCAACATTGGTCTGAAGTTTGCTGATATCAGAGCGGATCAATAATTCCAGATTAAACACATAAATGAGCAAAAGGAGGGGGCTGAGCAAGTAGAGTAAGTTGATCCACAGAGACTGTGGATAGAATCCTGTTGATGGAGTTGTGTGTGCGTGTCTTCTCACAAGGTCGTAGACCACAAACTGTACGGGAGCCGAGCTGAGTTTGACGGCACCATCGATCGTGTGCTGGAAGAATTTGCGGTGGAGTTGGTGTGTCTCGCTGGATTCATGAGGATCCTCACAGGAACGTTTGTCAAGAAGTGGAACGGTGTGTATCTCAATTTTGCACATTTTTTTTATTGTTAGTCATGAAGATGTTTAAAAAATTGTTCATTTGTCTGTGATTGCAACAGGGAAGTTACTGAACATCCACCCGTCCCTGCTGCCCTCGTTCAAGGGAGTGAATGCCCAGAAGCAGGCTCTGCAGGCTGGAGTGCGGGTTGCAGGCTGCACAGTGCATTTTGTAGCAGTAAGTTTGACACACTGGGGAATAAATCATTTAATTTTGGTGAATTGAATGAGTCACAGAGCTATTGTTTTATTTGTGTGTGTGTGTGTTCAGGAAGAGGTGGATGCTGGGGCCATCATCGTGCAGGAGGCGGTGCTCGTGCAGGGCGGAGACACAGAGGAGAGTCTGTCAGACAGAATCAGGGAGGCCGAGCACCGAGCGTTCCCTGCTGCTATGGAGCTGGTGGCCAGCGGAGGAGTCGGGCTCGCAGAGGACGGACGCATCGTGTGGAAGTCAAGTTAAAATTCAGAACATTAGCATTAAAATAATGTTCATTAATCTGTCTCATTTGTAGAGTGTTAATTGTGTAAAAGTTGGTTTGATAATACAGAAAAGGTAGTACAGCATGAAATAGATGAATAACAAAAAATGACATGTAGACATTAAAAACTCAACAGCTATGTGAAGATATCAGTTTTTACTGTTTGATTAGTGCAAAGATGTGCTTTCATTTTCAGATTTCTAGTGTTACATTTCCTCACAAACTAACATGGAAGAAAAAGGAGCATCATGTGTAGAGAGAAATGTTACTTGACATAAAAACTACATTCCAGTCATGAGTTTTGAGAACTGGTAGTTGCAGTGGGATGAAACTGTAAATTTAGAAAACAATCCGAGTGGTTGTGCATGTCATGCTGTCTAAATGATTTGTTGTTGTAACTCTGAATGAGTGTGTTTATCATTTCTTTATTAAAGCTGCTTTGATGAATGAAGGATGTTGGAGAGATTTTCAGTTGATGTGAATTAACACTTTATTTTAAAAAGGGGGAGAGTGATAAATGGTGAGTTGAAGTTTTGTTTAGACACAAGAGGAATCATTTGTAATTAATGTTAGTTTAAAAATGCTTAAATTAGTTTGAAAGAAAAGATATTTGTAGTGAAGTTAAGTATTTGTTTCCTCTCTTTTCCTACTGCACCTCCTTCAGTACACTTCCTGGTTTCTCACTCTGTCCTCTCTTGATTGGTTGTTGTTTGCACTCTGTCACTAATTAATTAGATTGTATTGACCTGTCTACTGTTTATTTAAGACTGCACTCCTTTACTCTTGTTTTCATGCTCACATGGGGAGACAGTTCAGTAATGGTAAGGTGGGTTTTATTGCTATTTTAGTTACTATCTAGTCCATTTTAATTTGTCCTCAGTAATTTATTTATGTTTATTTACTTTGAGAAAGTAATTAGACTTGTTTTTTGTACTAATATTATTTTATTTGTGTTTCAGCAGTTAAGATAAAGATAAAGTTTATTGATTCCTGTGGGGGGAAATTTGTGCATTTTAGTAGCTCCAGAAAATGGGATGGGAATATAATTCTTAAAAATAGAAGTTAAAAATGAAATGAAATATATTTACAGTAGTTAAATAAAAAAATAAAATAATGGAGAATTCCACAGTAACTACACTGGAAGTCAATCAATTAATTTTTATTTGTATAGAATCAAGTCAAAATGTTTTATGTCCAGAGACTTTACAAAAAGCAGGTAAAAGACCTTACTCATTGTTATGTTACAAAAAGCAGGTAAAAGACCTTACTCATTGTTATGTTACAAAAAGCAGGTAAAAGACCTTACTCATTGTTATGTTACAAAAAGCAGGTAAAAGACCTTACTCATTGTTATGTTACAAAAAGCAGGTAAAAGACCTTACTCATTGTTATGTTACATAAAGCAGGTAAAAGACCTTACTCATTGTTATGATACAAAAAGCAGGTAAAAGACCTTACTCATTGTTATGTTACAAAAAGCAGGTAAAAGACCTTACTCATTGTTATGTTACATAAAGCAGGTAAAAGACCTTACTCATTGTTATGTTACAAAAAGCAGGTAAAAGACCTTACTCATTGTTATGTTACAAAAAGCAGGTAAAAGACCTTACTCATTGTTATGTTACAAAAAGCAGGTAAAAGACCTTACTCATTGTTATGTTACATAAAGCAGGTAAAAGACCTTACTCATTGTTATGATACAAAAAGCAGGTAAAAGACCTTACTCATTGTTATGTTACAAAAAGCAGGTAAAAGACCTTACTCATTGTTATGTTACAAAAAGCAGGTAAAAGACCTTACTCATTGTTATGATACAAAAAGCAGGTAAAAGACCTTACTCATTGTTATGTTACAAAAAGCAGGTAAAAGACCTTACTCATTGTTATGTTACAAAGATCTGGCCTATCCATCATGAGTACTTTAGCAAAGCAGCAAAAGTTACAGTGGTAAGAAAAAATTTTCTTATTAAAAGGCAGGAAAAGAGTTATTGTTATTAAAAACACATTCAGTGTGTAACATGAGGTGGTGATGTTGTTAAACAGTCTGACTTCAGATGGGATGAACGACCTGTGGTAGTGCTCTGTTTTGCAGGGTGGGTGTCTGAGTCTGCTGCTGAAGGAGCTGCTCAGGGCCCCCACAGGGCCCCCATAGGGCCCCCACAGTGTCATGCAGGGGGTGAGAGGGGTTGTTCATGATGGATGACAGCTTCACTAACATCCTCCTCTCACCCACCTCCTCTACAGAGTACAGAGGACAGTCCCAGACAGAACTGGCCCTCATGCCCAGTCTGTTCAGTCTCTTCCTGTCTCTCTCTGTGCTCCCTCCTCCCCTGCATAGAAAAGTGCAGACGTCACCACAGTGTCATAAAAAGTCTGTAGCAGAGTCCTGCACACTCCAAAGGACCTCAGTCCTCTTAGCAGGTGACGTTGACATTGGCCCTTCTTGTACAGGACGTCTGTGTTGTGTGACCAGTCCAGTTTGTTGTTGAGGTGAACACCCAGGTATTTGTACGTCTCCACCCTCTCTATGTCCAAGCCCTGGATGTTCACCGGTGCAGTCTGGGGTGATTTCCTGTGGAAGTCAATCACCATCTCCTTTGTCTTGCTGGTGTTGAGCTGAAGGTGGTTGAGCTCACTCCAGTCAACAAAGTCCATGATGACCTGCCTGTACTGCTGTTCGCTCCCCTTAGACACACAGCCCACGATGGCTGAGTCATCGGAGAACTTCTGCAGGTGGCAGCTCCCAGAGTTGTAAGAGAAGTCCGAGGTGTACAGGGTGAAGAGAAAAGGGGAGAGAGCTGTCCCGTGCGGGGCCCCTGTACTGTAGACCACCATGTCAGACTCACAGTGGTGAAGCCCCATGTAGTGTGGTCTGTTGGTGAGGTAGTCCGTTGTCCACGAAGCCACGTGACAGTCTACTCCTGCACTCTCTAGTTTCCCATTGAGCAGTGCAGGCTGGATGGTGTTGAAGGCACTGGAGACCCTCACAGTGCTGCTGGTGTTCTCCAGGTGAGTCCAGGATCTCTGCAGCAGGTAGATGATGGTGTCATCCAGCCCGATGTTTGGCTGGTAGGCAAACTGCAGAGGATCCAGATTAGAAGTCACCAGGGGGTGGAGTTTGTTGAGGATGATCCTCTCCATGGTCTTCATCAGGTGAGAGGTGAGGGCCACAGGTGTGAAGTGGTTAGGGTCCCTGGGGTGAGATGTGTTTGGGACTGGCACCATGCAGGAAGTCTTCCACAGAGTTGATAACCTCTCCAGTTTCAGCTTCAGGTTGAAGATGTGCAGAAGAACCTCACAGAGCTGGTCTGCACAGTCCTTCAGGAGTTTGGAGCTGGGACTTGTGGCCTTGATTTTCCTCAGCTGGCTTCTGACCTGATCAGCTGTTGAGGAGGAGGAGGGGGATGAGGGGGATGGCAGGTTAGTTAGATGGAGTGTTGAGGGGGATGTCAGGGTACTTGGGTGAAGTGTTGAGAGGGGTGTTGGGGTACTCGGATGGAGTGTTGAGAGGGGTGTTGGGGTACTCGGATGAAGTGTTGAGAGGGGTGTTGGGGTACTCGGGTGAAGTGTTGAGAGGGGTGTCGGGGTACTCGGATGGAGTGTTGAGGGGGGTGTTGGGGTACTCGGGTGAAGTGTTGAGAGGGGTGTCGGGGTATTCGGATGGAGTGTTGAGGGGGGTGTTGGGGTACTCGGGTGAAGTGTTGAGGGGGGTGTTGGGGTACTTGGGTGGAGTGTTGAGGGGGGTGTCGGTGTACTCGGATGGAGTGTTGAGAGGGGTGTCGGGGTACTCGGGTGAAGTGTTGAGAGGGGTGTTGGGGTACTCGGGTGAAGTGTTGAGGGGGGTGTTGGGGTACTTGGGTGGAGTGTTGAGGGGGGTGTCGGTGTACTCGGATGGAGTGTTGAGAGGGGTGTCGGGGTACTCGGGTGAAGTGTTGAGAGGGGTGTCGGGGTACTCGGATGGAGTGTTGAGAGGGGTGTTGGGGTACTCGGATGGAGTGTTGAGAGGGGTGTCGGGGTAGTTAGATGGAGTGTTGAGGGGGGTGTTGGGGTATTTGGATGGAGTGTTGAGAGGGGTGTCGGGGTAGTTAGATGGAGTGTTGAGGGTGGTGTCGGCGTAGTTAGATGGAGTGTTGAGGGTGGTGTTGGCGTAGTTAGATGGAGTGTTGAGGGTGGTGTTGGTGTAGTTAGATGGAGTGTTGAGGGTGGTGTTGGTGTAGTTAGATGGAGTGTTGAGGGTGGTGTTGGCGTAGTTAGATGGAGTGTTGAGGGAAGTGTTGGCGTAGTTAGTTGGAGTGTTGAGAGGGGTGTTGGTGTAGTTAGATGGAGTGTTGAGGGTGGTGTTGGCGTAGTTAGATGGAGTGTTGAGGGTGGTGTTGGTGTAGTTAGATGGAGTGTTGAGAGGGGTGTTGGTGTAGTTAGATGGAGTGTTGAGGGTGGTGTTGGTGTAGTTAGATGGAGTGTTGAGGGTGGTGTTGGCGTAGTTAGATGGAGTGTTGAGGGTGGTGTCGGTGTAGTTAGATGGAGTGTTGAGGGTGGTGTCGGCGTAGTTAGATGGAGTGTTGAGGGTGGTGTTGGCGTAGTTAGATGGAGTGTTGAGGGGGGTGTTGGTGTAGTTAGATGGAGTGTTGAGGGTGGTGTTGGTGTAGTTAGATGGAGTGTTGAGGGGGGTGTTGCTGTAGTTAGATGGAGTGTTGAGGGGGGTGTTGGTGTAGTTAGATGGAGTGTTGAGGGGGGTGTTGGGGTATTCGGATGGAGTGTTGAGGGGGGTGTTGGCGTAGTTAGATGGAGTGTTGAGGGGTGTTGGTGTAGTTAGATGGAGTGTTGAGAGGGGTGTTGGTGTAGTTAGATGGAGTGTTGAGGGTGGTGTTGGTGTAGTTAGATGGAGTGTTGAGAGGGGTGTTGGTGTAGTTAGATGGAGTGTTGAGGGGGGTGTTGCTGTAGTTAGATGGAGTGTTGAGGGTGGTGTTGGCGTAGTTAGATGGAGTGTTGAGAGGGGTGTTGCTGTAGTTAGATGGAGTGTTGAGAGGGGTGTTGGTGTAGTTAGATGGAGTGTTGAGGGTGGTGTTGGTGTAGTTAGATGGAGTGTTGAGGGTGGTGTTGGCGTAGTTAGATGGAGTGTTGAGGGGGGTGTTGCTGTAGTTAGATGGAGTGTTGAGGGTGGTGTTGGCGTAGTTAGATGGAGTGTTGAGAGGGGTGTTGCTGTAGTTAGATGGAGTGTTGAGGGGGTGTTGGTGTAGTTAGATGGAGTGTTGAGGGGGTGTTGGGGTATTCGGATGGAGTGTTGAGGGGGGTGTTGGCGTAGTTAGATGGAGTGTTGAGGGGTGTTGGTGTAGTTAGATGGAGTGTTGAGAGGGGTGTTGGTGTAGTTAGATGGAGTGTTGAGGGGTGTTGGTGTAGTTAGATGGAGTGTTGAGAGGGGTGTTGGTGTAGTTAGATGGAGTGTTGAGAGGGGT